TGGCATCGGTTCTCCATTACAAAGTTTTAAAAAATGGATTTACTTCCTTTTTTTGGAAAATATCCCAAAGAAAACTCAATACCCGAATACACTTCCAGAACTTTTTTTATTTTTAGGTTTTCATTTTTATTTTTTACTTATTTTTTTTCTCTTTATTTTTACAGAATGCACCATGATTTGATCATTTTTCGTATCTTCTCAGGCCTATTACTGCCCTGTATGTGGGTTTGAGGGCCGATTTTGAAGAAAAATGCGGATTTTTTCGCACCATGAAGCATTCCGTAAAGATGTTTTGAAAAAATTATTTAGAAAAAATAAAAACCTAAAAATAAAATAGACCTAAAAGGAAGGGTTGCTATACATAGCCCTTTGATGAGAAAAAATCGTAGGGTTGAAGAAATTCCTGAAGGGTAGGCCCAAAAGAGGCCATTATCGATACCTCTCTTTCAAAAACTGGAGAAATATTCCTGTTCAGTTCTCTCACAAGCAAGCGGCAATTTTGGATCGGAAAATGTCAATTTCTTTAAATCTGCAAATCCTTTTTGATCCTTTTTTCAACACTAATTGAATGAGAAAAGAGCAATAAAAAGTAAAACAGGAATTAAAAACAAGAAATCTCATGATTTATTTATAAATATTTATAAATATAANGGGGGGGGGGGGGGGGTGGCATCGGTTCTCCATTACGAAGTTTTAAAAAATGGATTTACTTCCTTTTTTTGGAAAATACCCCCAAAAAAACTCAATACCCAAATACACTTCCAGAACTTTTTTTATTTTAAGGTTTTCATTTTTAATTTTTATTTATTTTTTTTCTCTTTTTTTACAGAATGCATCATGATTTGGTCATTTTTCGTATCTTCTCAGGCCTATTACTGCCCTGAATATGGGTTTGAGGGCCGATTTTGAAGAAAAATGCGGATTTTTTCGCATCATGAAGCATTCCGTAAAGATGTTTTGAAAAAATGATTTAGAAAAAATAAAAACCTAAAAATAAAATAGACCTAAAAGAAAGGGTTACTATACATAGCCCTTTGATGAGCAAAAAATCGTAGGGTTGAAGAAATTCACGAAGGGTAGGCCCAAAAGAGGCCCTTATCGATACCTCTCTTTTAAAAACTGGAGAAATATTCATGTTCAGTTCTCTCACAAGCAAGCGGCAATTTTGGATCGGAAAATGTCAATTTCTTTAAATCTGCAAATCTTTTTTGATCCTTTTTTCAACACTAATTGAATGAGAAAAGAGCAATAAAAAGTAAAACAGGAATTAAAAACAAGAAATCTCATGATTTATTTATAAATATTTATAAATATAATTAAAATTATGAACGTAGGCAAAAAATGAGGTAAAGTATTTGATACTTAAAAACATAATGAACTGGAAATTTACATGCAATAGAATTTACAGTGAGTGAGAATGAAATGATTAAAATTAATTGGTCGACAGTAGGAGTGATTCATAGCACCGGGCGCAAAGTAGCCAGTAAGCTGATTAGAATGGTGATCCACTGTGGCGAGATATGAAGACCTCTACCGCAAAGCTCAATATTTATTTCCTAGAATCAAAAAAACATAACACTTGAATAAATGAAGTGTTCTAGTCACATGCGATGCCTGGACAACAACTATTTAAAATAGGCAGATGAACAAAAATAAAAAGAAATCATACTATTCTAATTTATCTTTATGTAAAAAAGAATTATTATGTTACACAGTAACTTATGAGTATTTGCAGTTAAATGGACATTGGGCTAATGCAAATTTTACTTCAACTTACGATGTCCCTCTAACACTCATCATTCACATATCGACAGTTAAAGTATTGAGATGCATATCTAAGATCATGAAGTTGTAAGTTTCTCCTTATCAGAGCCTCGACTAAAATTTAATTTTGGATTTTCCTGATATTTTAAATGAAATTTCCTGATTTTTTGCACGAAAACATTGATACTTGTTTGATTTTGCAAACTATCATAAATAATTTATTGAACCAAAAATTTCGCTTCAGCATAAGCTAAACTGCATGCAGTTAAAAAAATGCTTGACCCCCTCTGAATTTTCTGATCAATACCCAATTTTGTACTTAAACAACATCCAAAAACATCATTTTAACCTTAATGTTCTATTCTTGGAACTATGAGTAAGACAGTTACATGAGACTTACTTCAGGATGCCGGTTGATACAAATATCAGGACGCCGTCGCGACAATGTGTTGTGACGTACTTTGTGACAGAGCATGGTTTCGTTTCCATCATCATAGAGAACTTCCTTAGGAATAACATCTATGGGCGCAGTGTACTCCAAGCGGCACAAGTTGTTCACCACCACCATCACTAAATTACTTCTTGGGACGTTCACAGCAATGAATGGCCTGCACACGAAAAGACAATAACACTTGATCAATTTTGGGGATTTCTATTGGTAGGGTCAAATTAATCACTTACAGAATGAAACTTGACCAATTTTGGAAAATCCTTTTTATGGGGTAACATTTACTAGCTGATGCATATTACTTAATTGGAAGCTGTATTCCAGACGATGGACTAATTGAAAAGGTGCAAATTTGAGTGTTATGAGGTATGTTTTCCTCCTAAAATTTCACTTAGAACACAATTTGTACTTCAAAAGTTATTGGAATTAACTCGTAAACAACATATTTGCTCTATTCAATGTATGAGTTCAAACTTCCGGCTTATATGAAAAGCAAGAATTTACTTGAGTTCAATCCCACACTGATAGCATCACCGTGACTGTCTCGGCAGTCTGAAAATATAACAACTTCAATCATATGCTAGTGGCTCCTAAATTTTAATGAAAGAAATAAATACTGATACATCATTTGTGAATCAACTTTGGAAAACTCTGATATATTCGAAATAAACTTCATTAAATTTTTTTGAGGTACCTCCTGTGTTTTAAAATGGTGTGATTCTTACCCTATCTAGCAAAATATAAAACCTAGGATGCTGTTTTAGTAGTTTTTCATACATTTGACTTGACATGATGTACTTTTTTCAATCCGCAAAATAGATTTCAAGTTAGGAGTATAATTTTTCTGAAAGGAAAATTTCTGTTTCCTTGGTTTATAAGTTCTTGAAGAACAAATAAAAGTTATTCGATTTAATGGATTTAGGTGTCTCATAGTCAGAACAATGGCTGTCCAATAAAAGAATCTTCAACACACCTATCTTCTCATAAATCTACTCAATGCAGTTATGTTAGAAAAACCCTAAGAGCATACATGGGTATATTTAACATTTTTTTTACCTGCATTCACTTGCTGGAGTTTGTCGCGGTTTGCGCAATTTCTCCTGCAAAAGTTCATAAAGCCAGACTTGTCTATCGCAGGGTTGTGGACGTGTTCTATTGATCATGACTGATGCATACGCTTTCTCAGGTAGTCGTGCAGAATCACCACCACCCAATGAGTCATAGCCGTAGTCTTCATCGGCATAAGCATCAGCTGAGGAAATAAGATCGATAATGTAAAATTAGTATGTAAAGTCATTAACACTATGATACGGAGTTGATAAAAAATGAAAGTTGTCAGAGGGCGTTGAAAGCGCATGCACATATCGATGGTGTAACTTGGCAATTACATAACTCGTTTGCCCTCTCTGAAAATCTCTGCCTCTGTTATTTTTTTGAAGGAGATCAAATTGACATCATTCCTTGAAGTTTTTGCAGAATTTTCTTCACACAGAGAAGAAAAATCATGACAGTTTTAAAGAATTGCCGTTGAGTAGTTTTCCGTTTAAAAAATAAAGTATGACAGGAAGTCTGCAACGTCGCAAACCGAGTTGTGATTGCCGACTTACACCGTCGATATCTTCAATTTTGTAAGGCCATACTTAACTTTAGTGTTGAAAAATATATAAATGGTCCATTACTGTTAATCTCCTCAGTCATAATCAAATTTTAATTTGACTTTAAAATAATTGATTGCGTAGTTCTAGTTTCCATCTAAAACCAGACGTAATATAAAATGTTTAGAAACTATCAAAAGAGACTTACGATCTTCACTTCCAAAGGAGTATGCGATCGACTGGGAAATGTTTTCCAAATTAATCTGCATGAAAAGCCAGAAGATGTTGCCAACCAGCCAATTGATAAAGAAGATAAGGTGTTCCACAGGCTGCAAACAGAGAAAACAAGCATTACAACCACTTCTAAAAGCTCCAGAGCAATGATAGGGAAACCTTTTGTAAAGAGTCAAATCAGACTTTGAGTGATGTACGAGATAGCCTCAAAAAATAGCGATGTCTTGCGATGACTTTCGAGTGTTTGAAGATAGAACTCTAATTATGGAAAGCATTTGAAAGAGGACTCAAAAATTAGAGTTGCTACAAAATTCAGAAAAAGAAATTCACTGACATTTCCCGGAGTTCCATGACACATTTTGATAAAATTCCCTGACAATTAAGGATATGCCAGATAGTTAAAAATTCATAAATTGGAATAGTTTTCTGGCAAAATTTGTTGTTCAAAACATTAATCCATTCTAAAATGCAAATAAAGGTGAATTAACAATTTTTCCCCAACAATCATGTCATTATTCCTGACATTTTGAGGTTTCCCCCGACATTTCAAGGTTTTACTTTGCTATAGTGGAGGTTTGAAACTGTCAAAACAAAATGTGATTTCATGTCCTCCTTTGACATAAAAATGAAATGAACTACTTTCAACTTATTTTCTGGAAAAAAGAGAGTACCTACGGTGAAAAACTTAAATTAAGATTCTTTGACCGAACCTGTCAGCAATTGCTTTCCTGGATGAAGCATCAATCTACTAAGAACCCTTATCTTACGAACAGTCACATTTACATAATTTCATGATGATATGAGTTACATTTACATAATTTCGTGATGATGTGCATTGGGCAATACATTTCTTCTGATCCATTGTAAGTATTCTAGATTGATACTTTTCAACTTACTGTATACAATTTGCTGGAGAAGCTAACTTCGCCCTCGTCCTCCCGCACAAAACAAACACCTTGGTAATCGTACATTGCAATCTTTCGGTAAACTTTGTCTTTGACCAACTCATTGAGGACAGCACCGTTAACTTCTCCAAAGAACCGCCCTGTATCGTTTCGATCTTCCGATACTATGATAAAGCCGTTGTTATCTAAAATGTAACAGTGGATATCACTGGAGGCACATGTTTGTTGAGGATTGCATTTGATACCTGAAATTTCTGGACACTGAAACCAGAAAACGAAAGAAGTGAGGGTTATGAATACAGGATTAACATATTATTAACATTGACACAGTAGGAATTCATCAAGTAATGTCAACACACTGGAATAGATGGCAGCATAAATTGAGACTGCATTGGGACACTAATATATAGCTGAGCCTGAACTACTTAAATATTCACGGAGGATGTATTTCTGCGAACAATTTCGAATCCATATGCATTTTTCCACTTTTGACTCATTAGCAGGGATAGCTTATCCTCACTGGTTTTTCAAGTATTCATTTGATATGACTGAGTTATGGAAAGTAACCAGTTTTGCAAAATTCGGAATATTGAACCACTCTCTATAATCTTTGGTTCTCGGGCATATCATTTAGAACTCCTGATGATGTATTTGAAGAAAAAGATGCTGGTATTTCATCCATAGAAGTCTCTGTAGTTTTGGCTTTCAACTTCAGTCCTAAAATCATTTCTTTACTTGAATATTCCCATGCTACAGCGTATGATTACAACAGATTCATTCAAACACTACTCTTTTCACAGTGCAGTTCCATCAAAGACACTCACTGGACGAAAATTAACGTTCAAAATCTTTTTGATATCAATGTCTGCTTGTTGAAGTTAAGAACCCTTTATAAACCAAGAGAAATTTACTTTTTTTGCTTGCCCAAGTTCTGGTGAGGAATTAAATTTACTAAAACACACTGTAAAACATCGAGGAGGCAAAAATTTAAAAATGTTGACCAAGTTTGAGTTTGAAATTGATTCTCTGATTTACGGAAGCACAGTCATTAAAACTAGAGAAACATTTCCACCAGATCTCTTTTTTTTACCTATTTTAAATTTGTCAGGCCACAAGCGGCTGCTTTTAGCTCTTGGGAAAATTCCTGGTTTTTCGGTATTTCTGGCCTTTCCGAGCATGTTTGCTTTTCAGAACTTTTGAAATTACAAATTGAATAATTGCTCTCCGGCAGTGGATAGGTGCAAGGTGACTACCTGCTGTAAATCAGCATGTACTCAATAGTTATTTGTCAATTTTTGCTTTCACTTCATCATTTTTTTTATTCTTGCTTTGTTGGAAAACATGTGTTACGGAACTGAAGCTCTGATCACGTTTCATGTTTCATCATGCAAAGGTAAAATATAAAAGAAAAGAGCACTTACAGAGTATGTAATGTTCATGAAGAGCGAATGAAGCGTTGAGTGTTGAAACTGAAGGCCAACGACAGCAGCCGGAGCTTTGTGCCCTCGATTAGTGTGAAAAATGGCATGACTAGCTGTCACCAGGGTTGCATTCTCAGGCCCTGAAAAAATATAGTCGTATTAAGTGATGCTACCATGTAATGGTACGGCACTTTCAGGCCTTCAAATGTTGCCAAGTGGAAAAGTTGACGGGGCGAAACGCAAGATACAATTATTTCGACTTCCAAATAGGTATAATTGCATATCCACAAAATGATGGAAAATCTCATTTTAACTGACTCAGAGACTTTAACTTGGGAGTAGAAAAGTTGGATGGGGCAAAATATGAGATACAAATATTTTGACTTCTAAGAAGATGAAATTTCATACCCACCAAATGAAGAGAGCATGGTGCTCTATGATATTCCAACCATCTGGTTTGTCAAACCCAAATTTCAGTTTGTGTAACCAAAGTAATGAAAGGAGTACGGTTGCTTGGACTGAAAGTTTGGTGAAACAAATGAAAGAATCAGTTTTATTCTAATATGACTGATATGACTAATATGACTTTCCCCCAATTTTCAAGACTGCCAGCAACCCTGTTATGAACGGCTTGGCAGCTAACAAACTGAGGCTCTGCTTTTCCACAGACAAGTTCTTAAACTGATAATTAAAATTTTTTTGCTATCAAACTTTTGTAGAATTTGTCATAAAGTAAGCCTCATCAAAGATTGACTGATAGTAAAACTTGTGTAAGCACTCGACAATGTAAGTGCGCAGCACAACTGTTTTCTGACAGTGCATGTGAAAAAATAAGTTGATGAACATAAAAATGAGAGGACTGCGATTGCACTCTTGGAGAGTTAAAAAAAAGAAGATAAATACGAAAAAATACACTTACGAGGAGGAACCCAAAAAAACCAGAATCTTGCTGTAACTTGGCAACGATGGAAAATATTCGAGTTCCACTGCTAAGAGGTGTAATTAGGAGCTATGAAGAGTCACTATGCCAAATTTCAACGTCGTGGCACATTTTCTTTTATTTTGGCGAGACTTGGTTTAAGGGGTTGTCTGGTGAGTTCGTCGTTTTTGAAGATGGGTGATTTTCACGGGCGATGCGTGGCTAGCTCGGTCAATTTTTGGTGTGAATCTTGCAAGGAACATGTTCTACTCATGACATAAGTTAATACATGTTTTCCTTCGTTTTAGAGTGTGATTTATTGTTGGAACTTAGGCTGGACGCCCAGTGGCAGTCACCGGCTAGAACGCTAAATGGGGGATCAATTCGGCAACAACGCGTTTTAGGCCCAAATTTTTCACAGCAATGTTTTGAATATTTCTGAATTAAATTCAAGTGATATCTGCTAGTTAATTAAATGATCTATAACCACCCTCATTCACAAAAATGCAATTTTATTCATTATTTGCATGGGTTCTATCCGATGGAGTTGGCAGTTTGTAGCCTTATAGGAGTTTCGGGCGGTATAGCACCATTTTCAAAGCAAAAAACCTAACTTGCACTGAAGTTTTTGATGAGGCTTGTCCTCCAAATGCAGCACATTAAAAAGTTACCAGAGAAAGTCGTGTTTTTATCAAGTAAGAGAGAAAAACTTGAGCGCTATGTGTTGTTACTGAAATTGACCCATCTTCAAAAACGACAAACTCGCCAGACAACCCCTTAAACCAAATCTCGCCAAAATAAAACAAAATATGCCACGACAGTGAAATTTGGCATGGTGACTCTTCATAGCTCCTAGTTACACCTCCTAGCGGTGGAGCCCGAATATTTTCCATCGTTGCCAAGTTACAGCAAAGTTTCAGGGTTTTTTTGGGTCCCTCCTCATATAATTGGATGTATTTCTGCCAAACAGAACTATGTGCATTATGACGTGAGCCCTGTTGTGCATATATCCTCATGGGTCTCAAGGCTCATGTCGTTATGCACATAGTTCCATTTGATAGAAATATGTCCAATTGATCCTCGATTTTTTCAATTTTCAAACTATGAGGTATTAAAGTACTCAGCAATGTACCGACATACCTGCATCATGCGGAACAGAATAGACAAAGCTTTCGGAATCCAGGAGGTAATATTCAACTGCTCTGCGATACCACAATTCGTCAATGGCTCGTTTATGAATTTCACTAAAATGTCTGGTATAAACAGAGAGAAGACGGGAGTTAATAGTGGTCATGGATCGTCCAGAAGATTAGGAAGTCAATCTTCATTTTTCATGTGCATAAGTTGATTTAAACAAAGCCACCAAATCTCATGGAAAAATAGTTTAAAGCAAATTGTGCTCTCCTCAGGAATCTTTGTCACTGCAAAGAGTCCTTTTAAATAATATAATTTATTCTGGCATAAAATAACTTTAAATTTGTTTGAGAAGTTTTCTGACAAGGTAACACTTAAAAACATCTGTTGGCTCATATTCCAAGTCCTTCATTTCTTTCTTCATAAGATATGTAAAAACACAATATTGATGAGCTATGATACAGACATACAGCTATCAAAAATCACAAACTGATTGCGGTAGACGTACCAGTTGGGAGACAGTAACTTGGAATTTTTCAGCAAACTTGCGTTAAAAATCCAGAGAACTCCAGTTTTCTGAATTTTAAACCACTGTGATTTTTAACACACGCTGACTAAAAAATTCAAATTTACTGTATCAAGAATCACATTAATGAGTATTCGAACTTACGGCATTTTATGCTCACGAATATATTCTTCAGCACTTAGGGAATGAAAATCGACCCACCGCGTAAGCCCACTTCTTGTTGCCATAAATGCAACTACCAAGCCGAACCTTTGCCTGAGTTCCTGCCTGTAATCAAAAATAGCCGCAGGTATAAGAACGATGCCAATACAGGTAATTCGAGAGTAAATAGACTATGATGAGAAAATAAATAAGATAGTATATCACCTGCCTTGAAAAAGACCTTTAAGCAACAAAAACTTCAGGAAAACAGAGTGAAATTAAGTTACATGAATTAAAGTTAAAGTTGGAAACATTAGAGAAAGTCACTGCAGAGAAAGCAAAATTGGATTACATCTTGCAATAAGGAACTAAAATATACGGATAAATATGGAACAAATGCAAATGTTATCAGTTCCCCTATGCACATAAGTGTTTATACAGATGAGCCAGATATTATACGTAGTTCCTAATAGCAAAATGAAGTCCACAATGGAGGTACCAGGTGTAGAGAGAGCACTTCCATGTTGCTGTGTTTCCGAATCTCTGCTGTTAATTTAAATTTTATTGAAGGAACTAATTAGTGATTTCCCCAAAATTTGTTGACTAAAACATTGGAAAAGTTAGGAGAATTTTCAGTGAACATTTCGACGAAATATACGCATTTACTTTCCTAATAATGAATGGAATGTTGATAAAGATCGAGAGACATCACAACCAAGAAAAGCCCTTTCCGTACCCAGCACTTCAATTTCAGCCAAAAAATATCACAATAAAAATACATACAGCTTTAAATCACTCTGAGATAGGTATACATGGACCTATAGAACAAAATTCATTGGACTTTAATAGCAATCTGACTCTTTGCTAGCAGCAAGCTAAAAATGAAACCTAATTTTGGGGAACAGGGTTTGTGAAGATTTTTTTACTTTTATCAAGTTGCTGGTCATTGCTAGCGATGAATTTATGGCAATAGCAAGAAAAAACATACATACAAAAAAACTGTGACGTATACTACATCACAGCGATGATTATTTAAGCTATTGCCACCATTGAATCTGATGTTGGTTTGACTCAACAAAATAAGTAAACAATAGCCGGAAACAGATGGTTTGACCGAGTCAAGCTGAAGGGATTAGATTTATGATAAACAGTGAAATTTGGAGGAGAGCAGAGACTAGAAGGAGAGAAAACAGGAACCATGAATCATGCACACATGCATGTAATCCACTTCATGATCAATGCTACCGATTAATTGCATTTATTGGACTCATTCAAGGTTGATTAATGAACAATTAAAGTGGTAAGTAGAATCTTATTAGACAAGACTTTTGCCTCTACATTGGGAATTTTTTATTTTTCACAGGATTGAAAATAAATTAAGTATAACAAAATGTCTCCATTGTGTCAAATGTGTTGAATTGAGATGTATCTTAAAAATTCTTGCCGACCGATCTTCCGATTCTTGCAAATTCTTTCTTTTATCACTGATTGAGTCATTGTGAGAAATATACTGGCTGACAAAATAGATAATTTAAATTACAAAACGGCTGTGTTGATACTTCAAAAAAGAAGGAAAGCGATGTAAGTTTGATACAGGTTCTACAACTAAATATTAGGGGAAATGAGGGACCCAATACAGTAAAGAGTGTACTGATAATTATATTGAGCGTTAAAAGGACGGAGAAACAAGATAGAAATTAAGCAGCTACAGTGAATTTTTTCCCTTGAAAGTTCAAGTACACAACAATTGAAAAAAAAACCAAGAATTCTAAAAATCAACTCCTAATCAAGTTTGATATCTGTAGCCATCCGTTAGGAAAAGATCTTGGTGAACTATAGTAAAATTCTGAACAGCACAAATTTTGTAGAGTTAAAAAAATCCGAAAATGTTATTGGGAGCTCAGTCCAATCAGTGCTTCAAGAAAATGAATTTAAAAAATGGCGCCAATGACCCATCATCACCGAAAATCACATTATAATCAGAGAGGGGTACTTCTGAGCCTTTCCTTGTAATACATCTAAATTTTAAATTGTAATATGTGCTTGAATTTTGAGTTTTTTTGAGCCAAGACCCCTTTTCCTGCGAATGGTTGCATTTAAGTACACTGCAACATTGAAGGGGAATCCAGTGACAAGAAAACATCGATGAGAGCTGCTGTATTACAGAAGAGAGGCATGAGAGCATTTCTGCATGAGACATTGAGACATGGTTAGCGCATGCTATAATGCATCCTGGGGCTCATGCCACTCACGGCTCTCTTCCGTAACGCAGCAGAGAGGCTGGGTGCAGCTAAGGGGGTGGGGGAGGGAGCAGCAGAGGGCGTGCTGGAATACTTTACCTTGGCAATAAGTTGATCAGCTTTGCAATTGGGCTTGGTGCAAAAGGAAGGAGATTAGTGCAAAATGGTAACAAGTGCAAGTGCAAACATCGGTTATTCATGGTGGAAAACATGAGGGAGGTTAGTGTTATATGTACAGACACAGACAATTGTTAAGAGACAAACTTCGATCTTTTTCAAAACGATACCTCAAAAAAAGGAGAAATGAGACAAAAACGTTGAAGAGAATTATATTTAAATGTGGAATTTTGTTATTACTAAAAAGTCATGCGATTTTTATTTTTTTTTCTTTCTTTAAAGAAAAAACCCATTCCTTTGCCTTCTTCACCAAAGATGAAGGAAACTTTTTTTAAAACAAAATCGCACGACTTTTCAGTCAAATTGAGACGGTATGGGACGGTAGATTCTTGAGAATTCGGTGGAAGTTTTTGGGCAAATTTTGAACAACTTACAAGATCAGATGGACTTGCACCAAGTTGCATTTTTGAGGGACAAAATGAATTTGGAGTAATTTTGGGTTTAGCTAGTCATCTCCTGAAAAAAATCTAAGCCGAAAAAAATATTTCGGATGTAAAGGGAGTAGTTAAACTTTGTTTTTAACATTGAGTCTTTTGGAGGGAAAAATCTATAAATCTCTTTTCTTGGCTTAAACTTGCAGCAACTTGGTACATTTACGTTAAACTCGGCCCAGATGTAATACAGCTCACTTCACTACAGATAAAAACTAAGTCCAGACGTATGTAAAATGGTTAATTTTGTGATCTTTTAAATGCCAAGAGCTTTGTTTTTGAGCGTAGAATTTTTACTTGTTTTTTCATTAATTAATTAGGACAATAAAACAATTCGAGCAAAACCTTTCTCTCTCTCTCTTTATCTTTTTTTGCAAATTCCTGTCATTTGGGTCAAACCTGTAAGAAGTGTTGCCAAAATTTTAGCAAATTTCTACAACATAAATCTTTTTATGGGAGGTGAAAATATTTCATAGTTTCATATCATCAATTTCTTTTAGAGTATCGTAAAATTGCATTTTATTGCATAGTAAACCAATAATCTCTTGAAAAACTGACCCAAGACTCGAGATTTTTTGTACATCACAATGTACATACGCTTACTGTACGTCCAACTGTGCTGCAACTTTCAGCTCTGTATAGTATTTAAAAAAGTGTGATAGAGGACCTGGAAAAACTTGTTGGACAATATGATAAACCTGGAAAAATATTTCACACTTCACACGAAGATTCACTTTTTTGATAATAAGTACCAATTTCAATGGAAGAATCTTCGACAGCTCAAAGTATGAAAATGCACATAACTAATGCTAGACTAAAACTGGGGGGAGTGAGGGGGGGGGGAGAAACCATGAGGTAACGGAAGAAACTAGTCTAATCTCTAGTCTATACTTTACTCATTTTTTCCAATAAATAAACCTGACTAAGAGAGCAAAAATTGCCTAAAATATGCAAAGGTATTGAATCTCTTCACAACATGATGTAAAACATAAAATTCACTTTTAATTTCATCACACCAAAAATCCGCTTACTCAGTTATAACAGGATATTTGTATGTTCTTTGCCATATCAAAAGTTTTCTTTTCGTTGGAGGAAAAAAAATCAAGGTTGGAGGGAAAAAAAAAACAAGAAATAATCTAGCTTGTCCCATTCAAGATTAGGATTGCTCATTCAGTGATATTTTTCAGAAACTGCAAAAATTGTAAAAGTTATTTCGAAAAAGAAATTTAAAAGTTCTAGAAGGGTGATGCATAATTATCAGGGGCTTTACCTTTTCAGTTCGTCGGCAGGTTTTGTCATATTCCATGAAAACCATTCGGTTGCTTTCGCATCGTACAACAAGGACAAGAAAAGATGCCGATCACCTGAAACGAGTAGGAAAAATGTTATGGACAAATTTTACAATTTGTAACAACAGATAATTTTGATTGTGCAAAAATATTGTTCAAAACGGCGTGCTTAACCAGACTGTGCTTGAGAGACAGTTATTAGTTGCTCACATTAACTTTTTCAGATTTTATTCATTTGAGTTAGCAAAAATCTAAAAGTATCAAATAGAATGTTACTTTTTTTGGGAATATTTATGGTTAATAAGTTGTGACTTTTAGGTTATTATGAGTTTGCTTGAAAAATAAATACCCACATCACAAGTCAAATTACAAATAACCCACCATGATAGACAAGTGCATCTATTGTGGTGGTCACAGAATCGTGCCTTGATGATTTCAGATTATAGATCAGCAAAAATAATGAGAACTGTCCAAACACCAAGTCTTTAGATCTAAGATAGGTATAGTCCTTCAAAAAACACAGCATATGGCATCATCCGATGCAGCGGTGCATACCATGGTTCCTTCCACCTTCATATAATCCATGTTTAAATTTGAGCAGCCAGTACACAAATAAATGAATCAATAATTGATAAAATGAAGGTGGAAAATGGTATGAGCTAGCGCGGTGGATGATATCATACACCAAGTTTTTCGAAGAGCAATATCGTATAATCGTTAGTGTTGGACTTTAAAACTGGGTGCTCAATGGTAGGAAGTTCGAATGGTGATAGGTACACATTTATTTGTTTTGCACTATTTATTATAAATGCATTTTTCATATCAGTGGCTAAAATTGACGAATGTGTATCCCTACAGCAAAGTTTCAAAATCTCCAATTATGCTTCATTTTCTTTCAAAGAACACTAACTTAACTATCTTTAAAATTGTTTGCAATATTTTTGAATAAGTGCTGAACATTTTTTTAAAAAAATAGTTGGTTCTCTTTAAAACATAAGACAAGAGCGGCTAGTGGCAACGTCCCAATTGAAGATACGCATTGTTTCACTTTAACTGCCGATATATCATTAAAGATGAAGCATTGTATCACCTGTCAAGTCACTATCTTGGGAAGTTTTGAGTTTCTTTTACGTTTTTACTGTGTAAACTTCTTCACTGATCTAAATTATCAGGATAGATGAAAAAACAGGAGGTCAACCGCAAGAAAAAAAATTGCTTAAATAAATCTTGACATAATTTTTCAAGGGTTGATTAAAGCACAAACTTTCTCGAGCAGAATCTCCGACACAAAACCAGATGGAACAGTGTTTTACTTTACGCACAGTGTTTTAGGAAGCATTAAGAAACAAATGGATCAACAATATATGTTCTCAATAAAAAAAGAAGAAAAGCAGCGTAGGATAATTTAAAAGAAATATAAATTGAAAAAGTTTTTAAAGTGAAAATTAAGCACTTGAGGAGATAAAAGCAAAAGAGAAGTGACAGAATCAAAAAGCTTGCATACTGAACTGCAGAAGTAGGCACAAAGACATTGAATGAAGCAAACAAAAATGAGTATAAACTAAGTCGGTTTCCACAGCTAACGATCCATTGTTAATACAGCTTTCTCATAAAAAAAATCTCATAAAGTAGAAGAAGAATCTAAATATTTTCATGCCAATATAGATCCGTTCTAAACATGGTTAGGTACCTAACTAGGGCAAATTAAACTTCATTCGGTGTGGTCGTGTGATACCAAAAGAAACATTTTTGGAGTCATGTTTCAATGGATGAAATTGATTATTTATAAGAAACAAGAGAACAAGAGTAGGATTTTTCTCTGAAAAGTCAAGTAAAATGCAAAAATAATGATTAATGAGAAAAAATCAAACTTTTAAAAATTTTCTACACATAGGAATTTAAGCATATAATTTGAGATAAATCTGTCAGATCTTTGGTCCTCGGAAAAAAAATATTTATGGAGTCATATTATAGCTGTGAATAAAAAACGATGTTTAGAAAAAATGAGTTTAACTCTTGAATTTCACCTTTCTGGGGATATTCAAAACTTTCACCTATATTCTAAAAAGCAAAGAAGAATGGACCACCAGACAAGATCTGCACTATAAAATCGCAATAAAACATCACATGATTTCCTTCCAAAATCTTACATGGAAAGTGATTCTTACAACGAGAAGTTCTAAAATCAACTCCTGAAAAAGAAGTTAAGGCGATTCGATGGATGCCATATTTTGTGCCAGAACGGCATGCGATATATCGCATCAGTTGGTTCCATTTTTTCAGGTACTCGTCATTTTTCTCCAATTTTGAGATCGCAATTCTGTTGTCAGGAGACTCAAGCATTCACTTACTAATTTTAACAAAGAAATTCAACGTAATAAAGGCGTGGTTTTTTTAGAGAGAAAATATTGCATTCGAGTGCAGTTCCCATATCCGTATCGAATGCGATGTTTTCTCTCTAAAAAAACCACTCTCAAAATTGGAGAAAAATGACGAGTAGCTGAAAAAATGGAACCAATTGATGCGATACATCACATGCCATTCTGACACAAAATATGGCGTCCATTGAATCACCTTAACAAGTATTTTTAACACAAGTTAAATAGAGGAATCTTGTTTATTCAGCAGTTGATATCTAGAATTCTTCTTGTGTGATTCATTTTCCTGGTAAGATCTTGAAGAGAATACATAATGCGTTGTGCTTTAATACATAACTTACCTGGAGGCTTATTGGTCAAACAGTTTTGTACCCATGAAAGTACATGTGTACCTTTCTTTCTATGCTATGTATGTGCTCATCTATTTAGCTTATTTTCTGATGATTATTGTGTAAGAATTTGAAATTTTGGGTAGTATGAAAAAAGTTTATCTCATTAAGACTACATGATCTGATTCGCTCTTTGGCTGGAGCCAAAAAATTATTACTTGGAAGGAACATGAAATCCTCCATCTGCTTCGAAATCAATATGCTCAAAGAGAAATGGATAAAGTCAAAGGTGACATTAATTTAAGGGGTGGTCCAAAAATGGGCAACAAGATAGTTCAAATGAATTATTTACGTTAATTATGAGTGGCGGTAGCCACACTGCCACATCCGGGCAAGTCACATCCTCCAACAATTGGCAACACAGCACAGCCCGGCTGTGGCACCTACACCATAACTACACCTACTTGGTTTATTTGGGTTTTTAGTTCAATAAACATTTAAAAGCAACAGAGCGATGGAATTCAGAAATTTTGGTTATTGTTTCATGTGTTTACATGTCTCTCAAAAAAGTTCGATACACAGGGGAAAACCTGAACTGATCAATTAAAGTTGTCTTTAGATACTACAGTTTTGTAGAGTCCTTAATTGCAACATCGGGAAGAAACATCCTGCAAAGAATTGGCACTTGGACACAAACGAATGATAGAAAATTAAAAAATGGTCATAGAAAACTTTTCGAACATGCATTGAATTACTACTAATTCGTGCTGGGTGCCGTACAAGTTTTCATTTTAAGACTTGTCTTTTTTTTGTTGATTGACCGATCTCAGTTGATTTGAGAGGTACTTGAGTGCAGATAGACACAAAGATGCGTTCCCGAAAGTTACTCACAGAAATAAGAATCCTTGTCCAATTTATCGGTTTTGCTCGAACTGGATTTAGCTGTGGAACGAGACGGTAAAAAAAACTAAAAATTTGCAAATTCAAAGTTAACAACAAATTTCAGATGCATTCATTCTGCCTAGCTGCCCATTCGGATAAACATTTTGCCAATGAAAAGAAAAGACCAAAGATTGCAACAATCACTTCTACCTAAAGGCTTTGGCACGATTAAATTTTGTTTAAATTCAACGTAAAGACGGATGGATACAAGGGAGAGGAGAAATACTTTTATTACGTTTATCCTAAATTTCTCTCCTTAGTCATGATTTGTTGGTGTTTTTACGGACATTCTAATGGACCATTGGACATGGTACGAATTTAGACATTTTGATTTATGTTTCTCTTCAACACTGCACAAAGAAAACGATTTGTTCAAAGGAAATAACTGATAATAAGTTCCAATCAAGGATATTAACATTTTTATTCGGCATTGGTTACAAAAAATTTGATTCGCTCACAAGAAGAAAAAAAAGTCTACTTGAATCAAATAATGCTTTACAACGATTTTGGCAGGTTTTTCAATCAAGCAGTATCCTATCCCATCCTGTGTTCTTCAAACTGTAAATAACTCACAATTTCTGAGCCAAAGCACCGAAATTGAGGTTATTATAATTTTACTCCGGAGACACTGTCATAGTAACTTTTAGTGCGTGATTTAATTCAAGAAGACGAGATGATGTTCATTTTTTCTACGAACAGTAAGTTTGAAGCCATACATCGAAAAACGATCATATATTGGTCAAAAGTTACTTTCAGTAATTTCAGTAAGTTCTACTTACGGTTCTACAAGAAATTTTGGTGAGGAAACATCCATCATAATGCTTGAATTTGCACCTTGTCTAGTGGGTCATTGAATTACCAACAAATTGAAAATGAGAAACCAAAAAAAATGCATGTATGCCCTTTTTTTGCATGCCTGTTTATAAGTAGTTGAATAAATGAAATAAAAAAAAACAGCTGCCGAAAGATTCTCATGACTCTCTCATCCAAAAGATTAGGAGGGTTGCAATACTAGGAGGAAAGGGGTTAGAGCTATGAACATAAACTGCTGAAAATTGACGATTTGTGAAGAAGAGGGGTTATTGCCTCACATGAGGATACACTGATTCTACGCTGACAATTTTTAGGTTGCAATAATGGGCCGACATTCTATTAAGCTTAAAGTGCGGCATGTCTCAGAAAGAACGATACAGCTCCAAAGGAAATACTTCAAATACCATTTCAAAAATAGTGAAAAAAGAATGAATAGACATGAAGGGGATATTTATCTGCAGCTGGGTACAAAATATCTTAAACTTATTTAGGAGTCACAACCAGGCAAACTGGTTCAAACAAAATTATGACAGTAAGACAGAACTTGCTGATATGGTTGCCCATTGTGGGAAAAATTGGATAGAATTAAGCAAGGAAGTCACATCTACATTGCGAAGTTCAAAAATATCATCTTCATCTTGTATTTTAATTTTTTGAAAGGAAACCAACCAACATTATTGCTTAAAATTTTATGGAAATAACTTTCGAATGGGCAAGAAAAATAGCAACAATTTTCGAGATCGGATGTTGGATGATTTTCTTCCAAAAAATTAAAATATGAGGTGAGATTTTGAAGCACCACAATGTAGATGTGAATTTTTTGCTTAACTCCATCCAATTCTTAGATATTGAAGGCCAAAGTGCGAAACTTTATATCTTCCTTTGAAACACTGCAAGACTTCCTGCCATAATTTATTTTTTTTCTCAGAAAAGTAGAGAATGTGATGTCTTAAAAACTTTGTTGATTTTTTTTCTGTTAGCAAAATATTCTGTAAAACTTTCAAGCTATCAAGTTGGCTTGTTTTTCTTTGGAAAAATAAAATAGGATTGAAAATTTTGAAACACTGCAATGAAGATACATGGTTTCGCACTTTGTCCATCGATATGCTCTTGCTGCTGTTGTCACAAGCCAAATGCAATGTGAGTGCATTTTGCAATAAGGAACTACAATTTCTGGCTCAGACCTAAAAACATCTATCTGCACAGGGAAACTAATGGTACATATGTTGTTTCTATAAAGAGTCAGAAATTTACCTTAGTGCCTAATCACAAAATGTCGTCAGAGTCAAATTAATGCAGTCACACATGAAGTTCTCCTGGCCTTTTAAGAGAAAAGATTTTGCTCAGAATGAAATAAGTCGAGACCACAATACCTGATAAACCTTGCAACGTCCGCAAGGCATTCCTGATGGATCTCAAGACATGTGAGTTGATGTGAGTTACACTATTTTTGCATTAGACCATACATTCATGAAGAGGATATAGGGGAAAGGCATTACAGAAGGAAATATTTTATATGTACAGAGCCAACTATTATCAGGAAAGACAGAGGAAGAAGTGAGATTTGCGATAAAAATAGACTTACAGTGGGATTCGGGCGGTGATGTATTTCGGCTGGATGGCCATTTCCAACCCCTTTCCTCACTCTTTTCAAGGAAATGCATCAATTCTGCTTCAGGCGTCTCGAAGGGTTGGCCCTTATCATATAGATACTTGCAATAGTACCTGAAAAACAAGATGTCAATGTGAAATTGAGTGACTATTTGCCGACCAAAATAGAATAGAGTTGCCAATACAAAAACCTTATTCGTGATAAATATGGTATTTATGTTCGAAGCTTATCAAGAAAAATTCCAAAACATAGACGATTCAACACATCCATTCTGCCATGCTAAGGAAAAACGCTACATGGACTTTTGAAAGTCGCCTTTCTTCCATTAAAATATTCATTTTTGGGAATTTTTTTGAGTATTATCTCTCGAAATGTTCAGGTAATTTATATCTGATTACAAATGAAATCCTCTAGAAAATTTGAAAAGAAAAATTCATAAATTTGAAATTTTAACTGAGAATTCATATTTTATTGAAGGAAATTAGGCAGCGTTTGAAGGTTCAAATAGTGTTCTGCCTAACCACAGCAGCATTGCTAGGCTAGTCATAGTGATAGTTTTTTATTTGGTCCTTCTGGGCCAATAATGTCACAATGACTGGTGTTTTTTATGGGACGTTTTTGTGATACAGTTGAGTGATAAATGCGCTGTCTGCAGGCACTTTTAAAGCACTAGTTATGTACCTGTAAGATCAATGAGAATCAGTAGCGCTGCAACAAGTGGAAAAAATTGCAGCTTGAAAAGTTTGAATTCTGCAATTTTTTTGCATATTTTTCAAGTCTGGCAGGAGTACTAAGTGTACGGCATGCTCGGAGGGAACAAATTTAAAAAAGAGGAACAATGATTTCCTATACGAGCAAGTTTTTTTTAAAACATCTGCTTAAAATTGTGCACACCCTGTGTAACTAATACTGATTCAATGCTGCACTAAGCAGCATAATTTAAAAAGTAATTCTGTGCCTCTTTTGATATAAAATTGTTGTTTCCCAGACAAAGTAATATAACTCCATTCAAAGGTTGCGACATTGATTTCGATAATTCAATTTTTAACAGATATATAACTGCAATTCCTAACCAAAATTTCGCTAATTTTCAAGTGGAAGTAGAGTAAAAATCAAGGAAAATAACGGTTTTGAACGTCCAGTAGTTTTCTAAAATAAAAATTAAAGAAAAGAGATTTTGCATCACCGATTGTAATTACGTTCTTCTGTGAAGGAAGTGAACAACAAAATATGATCTCCTTGAGGAACTAAGCTCAGAGTAATAATTTAAGTTCTGTTGAAAATACTCTTCCTTTCTTAAGCCATAGACCTCTGCTCTATGTATTCATTCTTCTCCTATTAGTTCATCACAAACTTACCATTCAGGGTGAATTTTCCATTTGCTACCCTTAAAAAAACTTGTGATATGAGATTTCCCTGCAACAGAAACAATAAGTTACATGATAAACATCTGAAGATTGATCATGAAATAGGAATAAATAGAATTTACTTTAAATATGAAAACACGTCAGAAAACTTCTGATCGTTGATGACAGGTTGATTTGCAGGATTTAATTTTGACACATTAAATCCTGCAATAAAAGCAATGACCGTGTTTGATCTTTTTATTGGTAAAGAAGTCTCTGAAGATGCATGTTTAAGATACGCAATGAGCGCAAGTCGATTGTTAAGTTGATAAATCAGATGGTAGGTGAGAGACGTGCAGCACTGATTTCTACGCTCTGAGTGCTGGGGCTGTTTGATTTTCAATAGAAAAATTGGAAGCTCTGACTTCTGTTGCCAACCTCAGTAGTCTGAATTGGACGTATTTCTGCCAAACGGAACTATGTGCATTTAGACATGAGCCCTGAGACCCATAAGAACACATACTGAACAGGGCTCACATCATAATGCACATAGTTCCTTTGGCAGAAACACATCCAATTGTTTTCAGTGTCTGCCTTCGTATTTTACTTTGTATATTCGCAGAATCCAAGAAATTAAAACTAAAATTTTAGAGAGCATAATTTAAAGATAGCCTTCTACAAATAAAAACATTGTCAACGAAAATTCCATACTAGACCGGAAACTTTTACAATACTTTGAGTATGATGCCTCAGACGTTAGGTCATCTCTTACAGAAAGCAACATATCTTGTCTGCATTGTTCCAGTATTTCTGCAAACATTTAATTTTTTCATAAAAGAACCGTTGTATAAGTTAGTCTAAAGATATCAGAAGCTTTTTCTCATACAGGTAAAGAAAAATCACCAGGAATTTCAAAAAAATTCATGAGACGGTTCGGAAAAAATAAAATGTAGGTAAAAAATACTGAAACAGCACAATGGAGATACCTTCCTTCGCATGCGGGACAACAATATATTCTGCAAAGCATTTTCAAACTGTTCAATTTGCTTTCTTCATTTCTAACGGTTATAAGACCTTTTGTCAACGATTTTTTGGCCGTGCACCTGTTTTTTCTAGTAGTTTACGTCCACTCGTTTTTTCGACAGATAAGTTTTGGTTCACTTACCAATTGAGACCCAAAGTTAATTGGTCCACGTGTAATTACAAACGAGAATTGCTCACGCCATTTTTGGATGAAAATGTATAATGCCTCGGAAGAATGAGGGTTTGCTTGTTTGGTCCAATGGAGAAAAATATATAATTGAGATTTTGGTTGAAATGCCGTCAATTCCATTAGGAAAAATTCCCTACAACTCTCTAAAACTCAGTGGTGCAACAGGACTTAATTATCTTTTGAGAAAATCTTAGCTTCTTAAACCTGAACCGGATAAACCTTTTGATTTGCCTCAGCCAAAGGCTCTTAGATTTTTCCTGTGTACGATAACTTTGCGACGGCACGGTGCTTCGAGCTACTATTTTGTCAAGGAGGTGTTGCACAGTATCATACAAGATTGGAGGCACCCGAATGTATCATAATTGATGGCATCTTTCAAAAGCACGAAGTTCCCTCGCAAATTAAATTGAGTGCTGACGACAAAAAGAGAGCGGTAGTCAAAAAACGTACAAAGACCCGGTATCAGTATTCAATAACATTTAGCATGATTTTTGCACTTCATTAGAGGAAAAAGTGATTTGATTCAGCAGAAATATGCTTAAATTTACCGCCGAGAAGATTTCCTTCTGAGTCAATAAAGCAAATGCTTGTTAACAAAAGAAAAGATGCTCATATAAAAAGAAAAGTCACTTACATCAAGCAGAAATCTGCTTTTATTCAGCTATTTCATTCTTGATTCAAAATAAAATCTTCTTGAAGGCATAATCAAGAACGTTTCTGCATGAAGCAAGTCACCTCTTTTTCTAATAAAATTCAAAAGTTATGCTAAATGTTATTAAAGAAGGATGCTAGGATTAAGTGAGTTTTTGGACTACCACTCTCTTTTTCTGCCATTGTATCTTGATTTTTTTTTCAAGGGAAGCTCCATAACCGTAAAGGATGCCTGTCATCCTTAATGTATTGGAACGCCTTCAATTTTGTATGATACTGGCAACACCTCTGTTGTGAAATAGTTGCTTGAGGCGCCGTGGCACGCTGCAGTGCGGCGGCCGGCCGGCCAGCGCTCATTGGCGCCTACAAACCTATTGGGATACTTCAAGCATTGCGCGATGCGTGAAGTATCCCCTTAGGTTTGTAGGCGCCACCAGTGCGCGTTTCACGCTGACAACTTGCCGCTCCGCTCTGCGTTAGGCTATAATATTTATACTTGCAGAGTCAGTGTTTCTCAACTCATAATATTTATACTTGCAGAGTCAGTGTTTCTCAACTCATGATTTTGGAATTTGTGCATACTCTGCATGAATTATTCTCCTTCAATTGATGAGAAAAAAATACGTATTAAAGGAAAATGTAATGTGCATTTTTTAGTTATAAGGTGGTTCCATGTCAACTTTAATGATTTCCAAAGCACTTTAATTTTTTCTTTTATACTTAAAACTTTTACTGTGCTGCAGCTTGGTGTACGCACAGCCAAATGCTCCAAATTGGACGTATTTGACTCTAAAAGATCAATGTAAAAATGGGTTAAAACCAAAGATTGCGTGCTTCTTGGTTTCCTTCCCTCTTTAATTAATTTTTGTATAGTTCCGTTCAACACGACTACGGTTCATTGATATTAATATCAATGCCATTGCTTGGAAAAGGGTTTCCACGTTTCAAAAATGTATTTTAAAATGAAGTAACATTTTCAATAAAAAAAGGGTATACATATAGTATATTTTACATTGAAAATTTTAAGGATAGAAGTTAAACCAAATACTCACCAATGACAATTTGAAAAGATGAATCAAAAGAAGAAAATAATATTTCATTGAAAAAATGAGTTACCACAACAACACCCCCTTCTCTCTCAATTTTTTCATTTCAACCCCCTTCTCTCTCAATTTTTTCATTTCAATATTGTCCATATAATATTACATAAGGACTAAAATGTAACGCTTGAACCTAATCACTGTTGCTTATTTTACTCGTGGACATAAACTACTGGACAGAACAGGTGCGTGGACAAAAAATCGTTGATGGAATGTCCTGAGACCCTTCCAACTGCGGTGGAGATTACCCGGGTAATAACAACTTGAGCCTAGAATCACTCACCTTCGGACCGAAGCAGATGTAACTCCTCAATTGCATCTACTCTGTGGGAGTACAGCGGTTCAAGGAAGGCCAAAACTACAGAGAAAGGAGTGCCAGAGATCCCAGAGAAAAAGTATTTCCGGTGGCCCCGTGACACTCTCTTCTGCTCAACAAAAAAAAAACACACACATTTGACAAACAATGACCGATGCTGAATGGAAGAGTATTACTATTGATGGGAATGTCTGACTTTCTGACTAATTGATTTTACAATTTCGATACATGCGGTAACATTTGCTTCATTAGATTCTTAAGAGACAAAAAGTTGATTTAGTTGATTGGAGACCCTATTGAGCAGCTTCATGGATCTTGAAAAAAAAACAGAATGTCAGAATAAAATAAATTGGGTCAAGTTCATACCTAACATTTCTGCAAAGTTATTCCTAACTTAAAATTTAATGAAAAAACCAATGAGTCCATTAGAAAGCACTTATAAGGGGGGGGGGGGAAATTGATTGAAATCTAACTCACTAGAGACCAACAGTCCCGATGACTGGATGTTAGGCTTCAGCCAAACAGTAAATGTGGACTCCCTCATCTGCTTATGTCATAATAGACCACCAAAAATATCATTTCAAATTGTTCAAGATTTTGGTAACTTCAACATCGATTTCTTTCCTCCATCATTTTGAGTAAAAAAGTCCAAAAAATTACCAGGAGTTCAACTCAAAGCTTTGAGAAGAGTGAGTTGAAAAAAAAGGCGTCACTGACTGATTATAAAATGAGTTAATGGATTTTATTCTGCAATCTTGAAGGATTTAATTTCATAAGAGGAAAAAGAGTCTTACCATATTATCATAATGATATTTCACTGGCAGCGAGCCGGAATTACTAGTATTGGATTGAAAGATAATGTTCCTCCGCAGCTGCAAAAACGAGAGAAAAGTTTCGATTCAAAAATCAAATTATTGTCGAATCATCAGAGGAAAAGTTATGAAAAATAAATTATTTTTAGAACTTTGTTTGCCATTTATGTGCTTCTTGCTGACGGTTAAAACTGTGAGGAGTTGCATCAAGCAAATCATTAAAAATAGGAACTCACCCAAGCAAAATTGATACAAGAACTTCTTCGACAGCTTAAAAAGTAAGCAGTTTTATCGAAATAAAGCACAAATGCTTGAAAATGAAAAGAAAAGAAAAAAAGGGGAAAATAACAAAAATTATATTTGTTGATAGCCAGAAAAATATTAGGTGAATGGAGATTTAAAATAAATTTTATATCAAACCATTCTAAGTGCATTAGATTCTATGGTTGTGTTGCTTTTAATCCAATTAAAAATAAGAAAAATAAAATTTACTTGGAGTGGATTTCTTACAAGATGAATGGATATTGGACAAGGTGTGAATTTGGGCATTCAGATATGATGTTTTATCATCAAAGTTTTATGTAAAATATGATTTGTGCGATAGGGTGGGCCGAAAAACAAAAATGTCGGAATTTTGACATCCCTGACGTTTCAAAAGTGGCCTAATGCTCTCAAATGAATGTAAAAAAAATTCAAGTCCCTAGGTAAATTTAAACATACGGCCCAAGCCCCTTGAAATTTGAGCACTTAGAATTTCACGATTTTCGATTATTTTTCAAGGAATTTACATTGCTGTCGCAAGAATAAGGCAAAATAAATTGTTTTTAGTCATGATTCTTACGTAATTTTTGATGGGAAACCGATTTTTGGGGTTTTGGAATCGATATATTTTACGCGACATATTTAACGTCTGAAAACTAGCCACACGATACTGAGGCGATACAAACGACACTGAGGGCAATCCGAGGTTTGAAGACAGAAATGATTTCATTTTGCTTGAAAAAATGAACACACATGCAAAAGTAAGGGTGTGTGTGTAAGGGTTTTGCGCTTGCCGTTGCAGTTATCTCTTTGCCCTCAGGCCGTTGCAAGGAGCGATGGAGGCGTTTGATAGATAGGTCATTAAACTCGCTCATTAAACATCAGACTCGACGACGCAATCTTCGCCCCTTTGTCGACGCTCCACGGTGCTGAACTTCATCCAGCGGGCCAGGTCCTAGCAAAGTGAGGCCGCTGTTAATAAGCACAACAATTCTGTCTTGTTTATATTTTATCAAAATCATGAAATTATCTTCAATTCCTCTTCTGAATTTGTATACATAGATGCCCTAAACTCTGGGATGCATAGGAAGCTACAGATGAGAGCTGTTGCGATGAAATCAAAATTTCAGGAAAAAACCGGTGATGTAACCGAATTATTGATTATCTTCGGGGGTTGAAACATTGTCTAATGTGACCTTTCTTGCAAAAATAGTGTCAGTTCAATTTCTGAACTATACGGTGCTAAAATTCAGAAATATGCTGAGAAAATTGCCAAATTTCGGCGAAATTTGACAAAATAACGAACTTTTCGATATAAGTCGTCAACATATCGATTCCAAAACTCCAAAAATTGGTTTCCCATCAAAAATTACGTAAGAATCATGACTAAAAACAATTTATTTTGTCTTATTCTTGAGACAGCAATGTGAATTCCTTGAAAAATCATCGAAAATCGTGAAATTCTAAGTGCTCAAATTTCAAGGGGCTTGGGCCGTATGTTTAAATTTACCTAGGGACCTGAATTTTTTTTACATTCATTTGAGAGCATTAGGCCACTTTTGAAACGTCAGGGATGTCTAAATTCCGACATTTTTGTTTTTCGGCCCACTATACATTGAAAGTAACTCTTGACGAAGATATTGACGTTTTTTGATGCATGCATTCAAACTCCCCGCTTAAAAAAAAATCAGGATCTAGGGTCAAAACGAATAATAAACGTTATCGTGATAGTTTCTGCATTATATAAATGTGACAACCTCAATCTCAGAGCTATGGCTGAGCGATATTCATATTTCTCGTTAACAAAGCTGAATGAAAACGTGTTTATCATGGTTAGCAGTTGATTTCAGTAATTTTTGTTGCAGGAATCGCATTCTACAAGGAATCTTAAAATATTTATAAGAATGCTTAAATGTGTACCTTGCCCGGCGGTTCATTGTCAAAACGAGCATAACTAAGGATGTTGCTAAAAAAATTCCTACCTTCAGGAGATTGAGATCAAATTTTCGAGGAGCATTTCCATCATCTACTAGTTCTACATCGGCCATGTCAACGCTGTTGTAGCTTGGCTTTAAAATTCCTTGAAACTAAAAAAGAAAAGAGACAGAGTGAAAAACAAGCAGTGAACTCCAACACAATGTGTTGATAAGGCGCGTCATTAACTCACACATATCAACCCCTTTAGTTTTCATTTACAGAGATTTCAAAATAGGCAAGTAGCACAACAAGAGAATTCATACGATCCAACTCTTCGACGACGTACTTTGACGAGACCGTGTATTGTGAATGTAGAAAGCCATTCGAACGAGTTTAAGTTTTTTGATCTGCCCCCAGCAATATCTTATCAGATTCTTAAAGAAAAGTGCTACGGAATAATTTAAGCGAAGAAAGGAAAA